AACCCTGATTGCTCTTTGGGCTTACAAGGGAGGGGGACTTGATTGGGGGAAGGGGAGGGAAATGGGAGGCGGTGGCAGGGAAGAGACAGAAATCTTTAATAAATAAAGAAATAACAAAAGGAGGGAATGAAGTCTTGTATACCACATAAGGAGTACAGTTTCCAGTTACTCTTCCTATGCCACAGTACCCAACCCCCTGGGTGTAGATGGAGACTGCTCGTTCATTTCCTGGCCACCCAGACCTGAAATAATTACACAGAAACTATATTAATTACAACAATGCTTGGCCAATAGCTTAGGCTTCTTATTAAGTAATACTTACATCTTAAATTAATCCATTTCTATTAATATTTCTGTGTATCACCATATGGCTGTTGCCTACCAGTAAGGTTTTATCTGGCATCTGTCTCCTTTGGCAGCTACATGGCATCTCATTGACTCCACCTTCTTTCTCCCAGCATTCATTTTTAGTTTTCCTGCCTAGCCCTATTCTGCCCTGCTATAGGTCAAAGCAGCTTCTTTATTAATCAATGATAATAAAACATATTCACAGCATACATAGGTAAATCCCACATCACCTCCCTTTTCTGTCTAAATAAAAAGAAAGGTTTTAACTTTAACATAGTAAAATTGCCTATAACAAAACAGTTATCAAGAAAGAATTATGGTTACAATATTTAGTCCATTTACATTTGGCAAATTAAGGAAAATACTCTATCATCTACCCTATCTTTGTGAGTCTAAATTTTATATCTAATTTCTTTTATATCTTATATAATTATAATTATAATCTTCCTTCAACTCCATCAAAGACTCCAGAAGGATATAAGATTACCTAAGAAAAACAGGAAGTGCATTGTAAGCAACTTCCAAAACTCTAGAATTAACGGAGACATCTCGCTACCTAGACAGTCACCCAAAGTTCTTCTGTAACATTGGGCATCCATATTTAGCCTACACATCCACAATATCTGGCAGACTTTTCCATGAAGTAGAAAATTTGAAAGACTGTTTCACCTCTATTGGCAATTTGTCAGTCACTTTTTTCTATATCCTGCAGAATGTCTAGCAGACTCTTTCAAGATACAGGAACCTTGAAGGACTGTCTCACCTTTAGATAAGTTCAGTAGTCATTTTTCTGCAGATTCTGCATGTCCAATTTATGTAGCATATCATCAATCAGTACAAGTGTAGTTTCTTGCCCAAATGGCTAGCCTTGTCACACTGAAAGCAAATTCCATCTTGAGTTTCTTCAATATCCATCAACCTCTTTGAAGTAATTGGTGCTGCCAGAAGCCAACATATCTCATTGTCATGGAAAGTCCTAAGTTTTTAAAACATTTTAAATGCAATATTCTATCCATCTGAAATATATCTCTGTACATATAGAAAACCTAGGTAACATGACCACAAGCTAGACTATTATAGATGGCTATCTATTAACCTGTATTTTAATTATACATTACATTTTTAAATGAGCTGCACAAATACAGTACCCTAATTGAGAGCTGAAATATACATATAACAAAATTGACCTTAAATTTGTATCAATAAGTCAGGCAGTGGTGACGCACACCTTTAATTCCAGCACTCAGGAAGCAGAAGCAGGTGGATTCCTGTGAGTTCAAGGCCAGCCTGGGCTACAAGAGCTAGTTTCAGGACAGGCTCCAAAGCTACAAAGAAACCCTGTCTTGAAAACACACAAAAAAAATTGTATCAATAAACCACGATCCATACCAATGCCAAGTATTCATCTCTTTATCATATCCCTGTTTAAATGAAAACAAACATTTATAAGCAATATTTGGAAATTTGGGTGTAGTTCTCTCCAAACTGCTTCCTGCTTTTTGTTGGGTGAAGTATTTTGTGGGGTTCACAGAGACCTTTCAGGGGATCTTAGTCCATCAAACCATGTTAATCTAGAAGGAATCCACAGGTTCTCATCCTCTGTGGAAACAAAAGCAAAACATCTTTTCCAAAACTACATATCCTTAGACCCAAATTTTGAAGTCAAGATACCTTTAAAATTTATATGTTGGTTTAGCTTAGCAGCCCGTACAATGAGATGTCTCTCTGTACTTAGCTCATTCACAGTCAAAAATTTCAAAGAAAACACAATAATATACATAATTTAGACTCTCTGTGTATTTTTCAACTTTATATGGCTTATTTTTTCTTTAATCCTTTAATCTATGACTGTCTGTACTCTGTCTCTTTAAAGATTTTACTTTTTTAAAAACCATTCACTTCTTTTTATAACTATTTCCTCTCTCCCAAGCCTACATACATTTATTTATCCAGCACCGTGACCCATTTAGAGGTCTTTTTCATCTGAATCTATCACTACTGCATATCTGTAATTATTTTTTGACCAGGAGTGCTGTTTTTAATGCTAATTGGTCATGGCTAGGACTAAGACTGTTTCCCTTTTGGCTCTGACCAGTCCAATGTGGCAGAGGTATGTTTACCAGAAGCTCTATGGGCTACTCTCTCCACCCCAGCTCCAGGGATGCTGTTGTCCACTTTGTCATCAATCAACCTGTAGCACTCTGCTCACAAACCCTATTCAAATGTTCAGCCTCCTGAAAGAGCCAGAGCTGGTTGTGCAACTATCAGGAACCAAAAAGCCTTTTTGAAAGAGATGCACAGTTTTTGCTGCTACTGCTGAGTCAGGAAGCCCTCTCTTAAAGGGATCCTGCCTCTGCTTGCTCTAGCAAACAGAGCAAATCTGAAAAAAAAAATACAGATACCAAGAAGTTATGCTTAACTCTGTTCTTTTTGTGTCTAGGATTTCCTTTTAAGCTCTCTCAGGTTTTATGTGGCTGTAGTGGCCTCACATTGGCACCATTTTATAGACTGGGGGTCCACTTGTTCATTTCCCGGCTGCCCAGACACAAAATAATCACACAGAAACTGTACTAATTACAATACTGTTTGGCCTATTAGCTTTGGCTTCTTACTAACTAACTCTTACATCTTAAATTAACCCATTTCTATTATTCTATGTATTGCCATGAGGCTCATGGTTTACCAGTAAAGTTCCACCCGGCAGCTCGTGTCTTTCTCCTTCAGCAGCTACATGGTATCTCCCTGATTCTGTCTTCTTTTCTCCTCTATCTCTGCTTGGAATTCCTGCTTAGCTCTATTCTGCCCTGCTATAGGCCCAAAGCAGTTTCTTTATTAACCAATGGTAATAAAACATATTCACAGTATACAGAGGGGAATCCCACATCACCTCAGGGACAATTATAATCCATGTTTAAAATTATAGGGCCTCAGCAATATAATTAAACACCAAGAGGCTTCTCTGAAGATCCAAGAACATCACTGGACAGCAAGCAAGACTGCTCATACCTAAATCTATCTCCTGTCTTGATTTTTCTTTTCATTTATGGGGATTCCCAAAAAACTCAAATTCCACATCACTCAGCCCCCAGATAGGCTTTTACCTTCCCGAGTGGGTACAACTTTCAGCATGGCAAGCTATTACTCTGTTTGCTTTTTGCTAGACAATGAGTAATCCTAAACTTTAAAGACCCAAATAACTATGTTAATTGAAGATGGATGCTTAAAAGAAATCCCACACTAGCTCAGAATTGAGAATAATAGAGGGTTATTTATTTAGGGGTAGATTCACAAATCACAATCCTCTGCTGGAACAGAGAACAGCAACTGAATCCTGCAGCCAGAAAGGAGGCCAAAAGCTTGCTTTACATGGGCATAAATAGTATAAGAGGCCACACCCAAGTGGGTGGGTAACTTAAAGGCTACTGGCTGTAGAAATTCCTACAGCAGTTAACCCACGAACATCCAATAATATAGGAAACTCAGACCTCAAAGAGTCAGCTGCTGGGACATTACCTTTTAGATGGTGAACAAGCAGGGCCTAAAGTAAGGGACCACATTATAAGACTGACCATTCCCAATAAACCAGACAGAGAAAATCAAAAGGCAGCTCTCCACTGCCCAAGGAAGGGTCCACACTGCGCATTAGCATTGTTCCTGATTCCTGTCATAACACAAAGAAACACTACCACATCTGGAGTCCTTGATGTCCTGAAGATGAAGAAAAAGGGTGTTCTCTGATCTCTTGCAGCAGAAACCTAACAGGTCAGGTGGCACTAACCGTGACTTCCAAATAGAGTCACCTACAGAAGGCGAAGTGACGTCAACCACATCAGAACCGCAAAAAGAACCTGAGACACTGCTGCTGGCAGCTCAAGTCATTGTTGTTATCGAGACTCCTGCTGACATCAAAACCAATCCCTGTGCTACGCTGGCCAGTGCTGAAGTCAGGCTGTGACTGGAGCCGCTCAGATTGCTGCCCCCTTCACCCTTGGGCCTTCACTACTCAGATCCAAGCAACCAGGGACTCACACCTGTGGGTGGTGAATGATCCCAGAACTGACCACCAGCCTCTCACAGAGGAGTTTTATATCAACCTGTCTACCATTGCTGGGTGTAACACAGACTCTCCTTTGTGCTTTGAGGACCTTGCCTCGAAAAACCTAAATAAAATAAAATAAAAATCAGGAAGTGCAGAAATTTGTGATTCACCAGCAGCTTGCGTGAGTTGCTGTCCATCCCGGAGGGGCTTTTCAGAGACGCAACTGCCAGAGAGTAAGCCACTTCAAAAAACCCCACCGATTGCCCCAGGCAAACTAAAGAGGTCCTGGTTGATGCCCTGAGGCAGAGAGAGGCTTATCCAAATCCCCCAGGAAGGTGCGCGACAGCTGGGGCAGGGGAAAAGTACCAAATCCTTCATTAGCCAGCCACGTGTCCCTCACTACCCGCCTTTCCCCACCCCACCCTCCACTACAGGCCAGGCCTCAGCTACCCCAGACCCACGTAGCTTTTTCACAACCCACCACTTTTATACTTTTGGTTTTTCCCATTCTCCACCCCTCCCTATGTTATGCCCAGTCTGTGGGGACCCCAAAAGACCACCAGGGAGACCGACTCACCAAAATGCAAAAGCAAGGTTTATTGTGTGCGTGATTACAAGTCGGCAGGGGATTCAGCAGCGCAGCAGCGAGAGGAGGTGCCCACCCTTCTAAAGGGCACCATTTAAAGGCAAAAACCAGAGAAGTTACATTAGCAGGGTGTGGGGTGACGGGTTGACGGGTTTAATCCTGATTGGCTGGCATTTGTCTAGGGGTGTCCTGGGGAAAAGCGATGGGTGTGTGCTGGCAGGTGATCCTATCTACAATAGTTGGAAGGTTGGAACGTTAGGAATTTCCTTTGGATGGTCCATTCCTGAGTGGTGACAGGGTAGTCTCAGTTTGTGGTCTTCCTCAGAACCAGGTATTGCCTTAGAGTAAACTGCTGAGACTCGGGCCTCTTGTATTAAGTAGCTGGGTCCTACACCTAGCCCCTGCCAAGGCTTTTCTCAGTTGGCGCCTCCTTCCTGCAGCTTTTTCCAAGTCCAAAATATCTCCTGCATTTCCACAACCGCCTCTAGAGGCTCTGTGAGAACACCCAGGCCTTGTCCTCCTTGGCCTCACTATCCACTGTGCAGCCTGAGGTCTGGAGATGAGCCGATCATAGACCCACCATCTACTCCACCTTTCCTATCTGCATCCACTTCCAGGCTCTACCTCGGATGACATGGAAGCCTCTTCCTTTAACTGTCTATTACTAGAACCAGGACCAAGCTTGCGCCCAGCAGTCCTATGGGAAGGGCTTTCCCTTTACACCTCACAGTCCCTGCCCTAAACTGAAGGCAGCCCCAGGCAGATTTTCTGTGGCAGTTTTCACCTCAGTCTAGAGAGGCCTCGGGGCTCTGCTCTGACTGGCTGTCACCAAGGCACAGGGAGGTTCTACTGTCCACGCTTATTCTATACACACAGGCATTCTCTCAGAGCAACTCTGATAGGAATCGGGGAAGTGACTCAGCCCTCCCTCCCGCACACAATCATTCATTTACAAATTTGTATGGGGGGGGGGCAACCAGGCCTGAGGATAGAATATTGAACGAGCTTCAAAGATCACTTCTTCCTGTGGACCGAGTCCTCTCCAGTGTGACTGTGGACCGAGTCCTCTCCAGTGTGACCGTGGACCGAGTCCTCTCCAGTGTGACCGGACAGCGGGGAAGTGAGAAGGCAAAGGAGGCTGGAGGAGCAAAGAACCAATAGGGGGATGGAAGGCGAGCCGCAGAGGGGACCATTGGAAGCCAGCTCTTCCTTGCTGCTCCAGAAGCCAGGGAGGGGCCTGGAGATGGATTCCAACCACAGAGAGGTGTTGTGTCCTTCTGGGGCTATGGTAGCAAGGCACCACAGACTGGGTTGTTTAAAGAAAATTGTGCAGTCTTGTGATTCTGGAGCCAAAGTCAGAGATCAGAGTGTGGGCAGAGTAGTGTGGGCAGAAGGTGGCACAGGCAGAGGGTGGTATGGGCTGGGCAGAGGGTGGCATGGGCAGAGGGTGATGTGGGCAGAGGGTGGCGTGGGCAGAGGGTGGCATGGGCAGAGGGTGGCGTGGGCAGAGGGTGGTACAGGCAGACAGTGGCATAGACAGAGGGTGGTGTGGGCAGAGGGTGGCGTGGGCAGAGAGTGGCATGGGCAGAGGGTGGTGTAGGAAGTGTTGAACCCTCCTGTGGCCTGTGATGGGGATGGAGCCAGGCTCGTCTTTCCTGGTTCCTGATTCTCTGCAGACAATCTGAGCTGTCTTGTCAACAAATAGTCTCTAAGTTTGCAATCATCTCCAGACTACACTGCGTCCTTATTTCCACATAAGTACGTTTATGAACTTTATAAAGCATACGTAGCGGCTCAGGGTGCAGTGGAAGCTGGGGTGAGAGGGTCCTATGCTCAGGCCCAGCTAGGGCTGCATTCTGAGACCATCTCAAAAACAAGGTAACATAAAAGGAGAGTGGTGTCTGAGCCTCCCTCTGCTCCCAGTGTGTGGCGCGGTGTGGCAACACTGCTCCAGCTCCTGCCACCGTTCCACCCTGCCATGGGGGGCCACAACCATGTAAACCTTTTCTCCCTTAAAGAGAAGAAGGGGAAAGAAGAAGGAGGAGTAAAATAAAAGTAGTTTTTAAAAATCATTATAAGCTTGGCAGTGGTGGCGCACTCCTTTAATCCCAGCACTTGGGAGGCAGAGGGCAGGCAGACCTCTGTGACTTTGAGGCCAGCCTGGTTTACAGAGTGAATTCCAGGAGGAGAATCCCTGTCTTGAATGAATGAATGAATGAATGAATGAAACCATTTAAACCATCTTTTAACTACACAGCACAGCGGCATTAAGTTTCGCTATCCAGCTCCAGAATTTTCAGTCATGCCAACCTGGAACCCCGTATCTGTCCACGGAACCTTGGCTCCCTGTGCCCCATGGAGTCCCCAGTCCCTGGTAACCACTGTTATTTTCTGTCATTTGGCTCTTCTAGGTCCCACTTAACTGGAATTGTCCAGGACTTGTTCTTCTGCGGCTGGCAGTCTTCTCTTGGTAATTTCAATGTTTGTGTGCGTGTGGCGTCTTTGGATAAGGACAGCAATCACGTGAGACTGGAGCCCAACCCGCTCCAGGGTGACCACATCTTAACAACCAGCTGTGTCTGCAACCGCCCGATGTCCAACTGAGTTCACAGTCTGACGCACTGGAGGTTAGCACCCTCACCATGAATACGGGGGACACAGCCCGACTCTAGCAGCCATGCCTACAGACAGCATAAGAAACGGTTTATCAGTAACTTTTTCTTTGTTGACCATTAACGCCGTCACCTCCACAACTCGGCCTGCAAGCAGGGTCCATTGCCCTGGTACATTTTTCCAGCCCAGATAACTCACTGCTCAGGAAGAGAAGGGTAAGAATTGCTGGCAGGTGTGCCAGTGCAGTCTCTGGCAAGCTCCCAGCACCAGCCCTGAGGCTTCAGTGTGTCCTGCCTGGCTAACAGGCAGCTACTCTGTCCTCTGAGGGACACCAAGTGGGTATCTACCCACCTACCAGGGCCTGAGCTGCCCGGGCTGGGAGGTTTCCTCCGCAAGCCCTTCTGGCCCTACAGAGTACCACTTCCTACGTTCCTCACATGGGCAATGACACTGTGGTACGGGCCTGGTTCTAGGAGGAAAAAAAATGGCCTCTGCTCTGGGAAGGTTTCATGGAAGGGGATGCACAAAAGGAAACAATTAAAATAAAAATTAAATGTACCGTGAGACAGGCGATGTGGGGATCAAAGCAGAAGGAAATGCCTTGGAAGCTGTGGGCTGAGCAGAGGGCCAAAGAAGGGAGAGACCAGCCAAGCAGATATGGGGAGAGAAAGATCCTGACTGAGGCAGCCACGTGCACCGGACCTGGGAGGAAATGGAGTCCAGAGAGTGTTAGGGAAGGGAAAGTAAGCAAGTGGGTGACAGAGTCTTAGACCCGAAGGATCTAACAATGGGTGTCGCTCTGAGAAATGGAGAACAGAAAGAACGAGGGGCCTGCCTGGCATGCTTCAGGCCCTGGGTTCAGAAAAACGAGGATCCAGTGCCCTCGCGCCATCTTCCAGGGCCAGTCCCCAGGAAGCACTCTTCCGCTGGTAAGATTCACACTAAAGAGACCTTGGTTAAGAAAGTGCTTTGCGGCCCCAGTGTGAGGAGCTGGGTCCTGGAGTCACCCACATAAAGGCCACTGCAGCAGCAGGCATCTCTGATCCCGTGCTCCTAGAGTGAGACGCAGGCGCGCGCAGAGGCAGGAGAATCTCTGATGAAAATGTACAGGAGAGCCAACCTGGTTTTCACAGCAACAGACAACAAAAGACCCTGTCTCGAGCAAGGTGGCTGGAAATATCTACAAGGTTGTTCTCTGAGGTCTATGGACCTGTCATTGTATAAGCCCCTACAAGTGTGCTCTCTCGCTCTAGCTCTCTCTTTAAAAAAAAAAAAAAAAAAGACAATTAGAACAGAGTAGGCTTAGAGGACAATAAGTGTAGAGAAATACAATTCTCACCTTTAAGAGTCATTTTCTCAGCCAGGTGGTAATGGCACATCTTTAATCCTAGCTCTCACTTGGGAGGCAGAGGCAGGAGGATCTCTGTGAGTTCAAGGCCAGCCTGGTTTATAAAGTGAGTTCCGGGATAGCCAGCTCTGTTACACAAAGAAATCCTATCTCAAAAAAAAAAATTATCTGCCAGGACTAGATTGGGGGCGGGGGAGATCTTCCTTGATTGACTGTTCCTCTTTAAATGTAAGCTGAAAAGGAAACCTCATGTATCTTCAGGTGAGTCACTTTGACTCAGAACACAGGCTATCACAGCTAATTCCATCCACAGACAGGATAGAGGGTATGTGTATGTACCACAGCGTGTGTGTGTGTGTATGTGTGTGTGTGGTGTGTGTATGTGTGTGTGGGGGGGGAAGGAGGGAGGGAGGGAGGGAGCGGAACAGGGAGGAGGTACCTACAAGCCGATCACGCAAGTCACAGAGGCAAAAGGGTGGCAGGAGAGATGTGGGCAGAGCCACATAAATGCTGTGGGGTGGGCACATTCCTGTGGCTCAAGGATTGGGGACAACAACTTGAAGATCTGGCCAAGTTCATGCCAAGAGGGGCGCTCGTGGGGTGGAGCGGAGCCAGAGCTAAAAATACAGTGATATTTCTGTGCCCTGCGAGAGCGTTAGTGTCTGTGGGGTTTGTGTGGTGGGAAGGGGGGCTTTGAGGAAGGGTGGCCAGCCTCAGGGAGGAGCTAAAGTGAAGGCTGGCCTGCAGCAGAAAAGATTCCAGACAATTAAGGCAGGCCTAACCCCAGAGGTCTGTGTCCTGAGCCCCTGGAGCAGTAGAGAAGGTGGGGCAAACCCCTCCCCTGGGAACAGGTAAGGAACCTAGAAGGTATGGCTGTGGGAGGGGGGTACTTAACATACTGATACACAAAGGTGTTTCAATTCTTTGCCAACAGATTATTAAAATAGTTAATAAAAAAAATCTCCCAATCCTAGGGCCACCCAGGAAGGAATTAGCAGAGTTGGAATTGGGCCCCCATCTCTACCTCCCCATAGCAGGCTCCCTGGAGATGGCCCCAGAGGGCAGGATATGGCAGGCTTCCAGGCAAGAAGGGAACATTTCTACTCAGTAAGTCTACCCAGCAGTAAAGGCCTAGCTCAAAGAGCAGGGAGCTCACAAATGTAGGCTTCCGAGGGACGCCTAAGGCCTGCACCGCTCTGGGAGCCCACATTTTTGAGGAGAAACACAGAAGCCTGTGGGATTCAACAGTGTCCTTGAAATGACCTTCGTGTAAGGAGTCCCCACTCCAGAAAGGAAGAAAGCACAGCACCAGCCCCTTGTGGATCTTGCCTGCTCACAGAGCAGCCGCTGCCCCGGACAATACTCCCAAGACACAGGACACAGGGACCAGACACAGGACACAGGGACCAGTCCTTACATTGCCTGCCAGTGTCTAGGCAAAGGGCCCCTCATAAGGGAATCAAGCACACCAGACGAGGAGGAGGGTTGTGAAAACCCAAGGCCTGGTTCACAGGTTGCTTCCTGGATCCCTCAGAAGTCAAAAGAGAGGACAGTAAGGCCCACAGGACTCAGAGAAAACCATTACAGTCACTCACTGTGCACACAACAGTGCCAAAGTCACCATTTCTTGAACATTTATGGTATACCTACACACTCAGCTGAATGTTTAGTGTATGTTATCTGCTCTCATCTTCAGAGCAGCTCTGTGAACTAAGTGTTCTTCCTGTTTCCCTTTTGCAAGTAAAACAGACTCACACGGTGACATAAGTCGTCCAAAATTGCACAAGTGGCATGTGGCTAGCTCTGGATTCCAGCCCAGAGCCTCCAGACTCCAGACCCCATGTGTAACCCTGAGGAACCAATACTTCTGCAATCTCCCTAGTGATAGCGTTAGATCTCCAGCGTAGAATGTATAGGTTTCAATGTTCCCGTGATGGATTCCCACAAATCTAGCACATGTATTTATGTATATTGCACTTGAGGTCAGATCTGACGCATGGGTCTTACTGGGACGAGATGGGTGGGCAGGGCTGCCTTCTTTTTAGCATCTGCGGGAAATAGTTCATTACCTTGCATTTTCCGCTTCTGAAAGCTGCCAAATTCTTTGGCTTATAGCCTCTCTCTCTTTAGCTGTGAAGCCATCATAATCCAGTCTCTCTGACTCTGTATCACAGTTCTCTCTGAAGACACTCTATTTTAACCTATGGGGTTAGAGACCATCTGAACAATTCAAACAAATCGCTCTCATTGCAAGGCATTTAGCCTTAGTTGAACCTACGAAGTCCCCTTTGCCATGCTAGATAACACTTCTCGGGTACCATAGGATGTGTACATATCGGGGGACCTTTAGTGTATGAGTGTGCATGTGAGTGTGTATGCATGCAGGTGCATGTGTATGTGTGCATGTATGTTTTCATGTTTATGCGCACGAGTGAAGGAAAGAGTACACGCAGGTGAGTACTTGTGTGTGCATGTGTGTTTTCATGTTTATGTGCACGAGTGAAGGAAAGAATGCGTGTAGATGAGTGCATGTGTGTGCATGTGTGTTTTCATGTTTATGTGCAGGAGTGAAGGAAAGAGTACATGCAGGTGGGTACATGTGTGTGCATGTGTGTTTTCATGTTTATGTGCAGGAGTGAAGGAAAGAGTGCATGCAGGTGGGTACATGCATGTAGAGGCTAAAGCCGACATCAAGTTGTGTGACTTTTTTGGGAAGATGTGAACAAACCAACCCAGACAGAGCACTGACAACAAACCGAAGAAACAATCCCACCTATTACTGAGAAGTATCCTTACTTTTTAATGATGCGAATCAACAAATTATTTAAAGATTAAATATAGAAGCAGATAGGAAGCTAAAGCTAAACAGAGTGTTAGCTTCTCAAGGGGCCCCAGTGGCTAGTGGGTGAAGGATGGCCCCCAGAAATAGTAATTCCAGGTGCATACAGCATGGACTGGGAGAGCAGCAACACCTATCAAAGCCTCAGGTGGAATGCAAGTTGGGGCGCCCAGGGGTCTGGCATTCTGTTTTCCTCGCTCACTTGGAAAAGATGGTTGGAAAAGTGGGGGAGTTGCCAGCAGAGACACGGCCCAAGAAGCTGGAAGATTCCCCAAAGCCAAGGATGCTGAGATCCTTCTTAGCGGGCAGAGTGAGAAGAAACTACAGGACTCACCCACTGCCAAATAGAGCTGCGAAATCATCCTAGACACGGGCTGAAGCCAAATCTGAGAGTAGACAACAGAGGACACTGGAGATGGACAAAACACAAGGATAAAGGAGCAGACTGGGGCTGGCTTCTCGCTCTGCCGCAAGCTGACACCGTCCTGGTGAAAACCCCTGGAAATGTGGCCCCTTGGGTGGGTAACATGGCTGGAGAGAGAATGAGAAGAAGTCATATCTATCAGTGTTTGCTATAGTCAGAATGTTCTTGAGGTTCAGGGATGGAGGTTTTCTAGGTGGAGCCTAGCAATTGGGAGTGTATGCTCTAGAAAGAATTGAACAGAGCCGGTAGAGGTGCACGCCTTTAATCCCAGCAGAGGCAGGCAGATCTCTGCAAGTATAAGGC